TTCCTTCACACTATCATATAAACACTCATTTATCTTTACAGCTTCTTTGGATTTTTGAAGTTCTTATATCTTTTTAAGCTAGCTAATATTTAAAGTTTATTGTATTTAATTCAAAATTTTTAGGTGTTTTGTTACAGAGGAATTTTAAGATCTCAGTCACAATTTAAAACAAAAGTTTAAAAATTTCTATTTGATATGAAGAACCTTTACACAGAAGCATGTTCCTGAGTTCTAGAAATTATCAAGTTAGCTCACAGTGAGCCAGGCTGTGGTGGAACACATCTTTAGTCCCAGCACTTGGGAGGCAGAGGCAGGCAGATCTCTGAGTTCAAGGCCAGCCTGATCTACAGAGTGAGTTCCAGGACAGCCAGGGCTACACAGAGAAACCCTGTCTTGAAACAACAACCTTACAATATAATCGGGGTCAGATAAAGAGAAAATGTACAACACTAAATTAAATGATTACTAAACAGAGATACAAGAAAGAAGGTATGGCCAGGCAGATAAAAGATAACTTTATTTCATAAAGACTGTCAATAGTAAATATTTTAAAATCTTTTTATTATATGAGAGGGAAGGTATCTGTGTATCTGTGTGTGTTTTGTTGGTACCTTGGCAAGCTGCTTTTGAGGGTTGGTTCTTTCCTTTTAAATGTTAAAACTAAGATTTGATGTGTGGGTCAGGCTTGGAGGGAAGTGCCTTTGCCATCTCAGCCAACTCACTGGACCATTTTAAAAGATATTTGTGTTTCTCAGCATACCTATATCCTATCAGTTAATAAATGTGTTTTATGTTTCTTTACATCTCCCTAAAGTGCTCATATTAAAAACAGAATAAAGTGGGAGTTTGTGCTTCTGGAAAGAAGGAGTAAACTGATTTTTTTTTCCTATTCTTGCCACTAAACTCCACAAAATCCCATGTGTTATATATAATATTAAACAGACATCAGAAGAATTTGAAAGGTGAAGGAAGTAGGGGCCACGAGACCTGAGAAATGATAGTGGTAAGTTCCCTGTGCTTTCTTTTTATTATTAATAATAATTAATATTATTTTAATTGACAAATTACAAAACACAAATTATGATTATATATACTTATAGGATACATGCTTATGTTTTATTATATAACATGGAATAATTAAATTAAGCTAATTATTATCTCATTTGTCATTTTTCTGTGGTATCACATTTGACATTTATTCTTTTAGCTATTTTGAAACACACATTACCAACCATAATAAACTGTTGTGCAATAGATCTTGAAAACCTATTCCTCCTGTCTGATACTTTGTACCCTTCTACCAACATTTCCTCATTGCCTCTCTGCCCCACACCAGCATCTGATAACCACCATGCACACTAAGAAAAGTTCAGCATTTTCACTTTTTACATGTAAGAGAGATTGTGTGGTATATTTAACGTTCTTTTTTTCCCTTTTTAAAAACTGAATTTTAAAATTACATTTATTTATTTAGTGTGATGTTTGCACACAAGTACAATGAGGCCCCACATGAAGAGCAACTCATGGGAGTAAATTCTCTCTTGCCACCATGTAGGTCCCAGTGATGGAACTCAGAATATCAGTGTTGATTGTATGCACTTTTTATCTACTAAGCCATCTTGCAAGCTCAAGTGGAACTTCTATGCAAACCTGACTTACTTCACTTAGCACAATGCTCTTCAGGTTCATCTACCACATACATTCTTTTTTTTTCCCCATGGTTTTTGGAGACAGGTTTTCTCTGTGTAGCCCTGGCTGTCCTGGAACTCACTCTGTAAACCAGGCTGTCTCAAACATAGAGATCTACCTGCCTCTGCCTCCTGAGGGCTGGAATTAAAGGTGTGTGTCACCACTGCCTGGTACCATATGCATTCTTTTGGGCTAGCAGACTCGGAGTTGGAATGGAACAAGCCAGTAACTGAAGTCTGGGCACAGACAGAAAAGGTCTCAACAAAACCCACTTTCTCCAGCCAATGAATCATGAAAAGGACCAGCCTAGCAAGACAGAAAATGTAAGATAATAATCAACTGATATAGTCAGACATCACACACACACACACACACACACACCACACACCACACACGCATACAACACACACACACATACAACACACACACACACACACCACACACGCATACAACACACACACACACATACAACACACACACACACACCACACACCACACACACATACAACACACACAATACAACACACACACACAACACACACACACACACACATACAACACACACACACACACACAAACATAGAAATGTAGTTCCTTCCCCAGGCCTAGCAAAAGGAGAGCCCAGACTTCCATCCAGGAAGTAAAGGCAGAAGGATCACAAGTTCAGGGATAGCTTAGGTAATACCAGCAAGACTGTCTTGTCCCAAACAACAAAACCAGAAAATACATTTTCCTTTTTTGTGTGTTTAAAAAAAAAGCACATACCACAACTGAGGCAAAAATCTTAATCTTACCTGATGTGGTTCTAAATTTATGTAGAGAAAATGTTTCAGATAATTATATTTTAAATGGAGCAAGATAAAGGCACTATACATGGATTATTTGAATTATTCTCTCCTCCACCCCCAAAATACATTGAATTCTTTAGTACTTCAGAATGTGACTTCTAACTAGTATCACTGCTGATATTTCAAATGAGGTTACACAGGAACAGGTCCACGTTTCAAGAAGGCTGATGTCCTTACAAGAATATGGCCATGTGAAGACACAGGGAAAAGATCATATGATAGCAAAGGCAGAAACTGCAAAGTGCGTAAAGCCAGACTGGCAGCAAACCACCAGAAGACAGGAAGCGTGGAATGGAAGGAAGACACCTGCATCTGTACTTACAGCCACTATACACAAGTCACTTAGCTTTCAGAACTTTGGTAGACAACTCCAGAAAACTAACACAGGCAAAATAGGAAGTTAAGTTTTGGACTGCACTAGAAACTGCCAACACTAGACATTAATAGGCTATAAATATACACTGAGAGAAAACAGAATACACAGAACAAGCACTACAGATATGCTGGAATGGAACTCTTAAAACATGGCCAGGCTGGGTATATATATATAGCATATGCCTTTAATCCCAGCACTTAGGAGACATTGGCAGGCAGCTCTCTATGAGTCCGAGACTAGCCTGGTGTACATAGTGAGTTCCAGGACAGCCAAGGCTATATAGTAAAAACTCATCTCAAAACAAACAAATAACAATAAAAAGGAAAACTGAAAATGACATGAAAAGTAAGAATTTTTGTTTACTAAAAAGATTCTGAAATGAATATCAAAGACAAAGTCAGATTGTGAGAAATATTTGTAAACTACATATTCAACCAAAAAAAATCTTAAAAATTTTAAAAGAAAATATCCTTGTTAATTCTTGTAAATACAAGAAAAATGACCAAAGACATGATAGATATTTCACTAAAGAGACCATAGTAATGGCAAAAGAAAGAACATACGAAGATACATTCAATATCATTAACCATTAGGAAGATGCAAATTAAAAGTATAAGATATTAGTATGTACTTTCTTAATAGTTGGAATAAAAATTGCTAGTGAGGATGCAGAGAAACAAAATCAGCCATACATTACAGGCAAAAATGGTAGAGCCACTCTGAAAACATTTCTGCAGTTACAAGAAAAAGTAAACATAAAATTACCATACATCCTAGCAATTCCACTCTGAGACTTTATTCCAGAGAAAAGGAAACATGTGTTTTCATAAAACCCTCCACATAGATGTTCACAGTAGCTTTATGACAGCCCCAATCTGGAAGTTACTCAACTGTGGTACATCTATAGCATACTACTATAGAATACTATTCAGCAAGAGAAAATGTCGGCACTAGTATCCAAAGGACTTTACTGAGGTTCAAAAAAAACAACCAACATCTAAGGCTATATTCTATATGATCTTATTTATAAAACTTTACCGTGCCAAAGTTATAAAAATAGAAGGACAGCAGCTGTCCAGATTAAGGATGGAGTGGAGCTGGGGGCAAGGAGTAGATAAAGGAGCCACACAGGTCCTTCTGCTGATCTGCTTGTATCTCAATTGTGTCAGTGTCAACTGCTTTGTGATACTATATACTGCACATGCATTTCTACATTACCTCAGAATAAAATAAAAGGTTTGTTTTAAAAACAAAAATGGGAAAACTGCACAGATCATACCACTTATTGAGCTGAGCACCCACTGTATGGCTAGGATCTATTTAAAGTACTCCCATGAATATGATATAATTTTCATAAATTCTATTAGAGACTATGTATAGTTCTTAAATGATCCTATGAAATATGTAGTGGGAGAAGGCAGGGCAGATGGAGCTGGCCATGTGGCTGCTAGCTGAGGGCTCTGTTGCTGAGATGCTTTTCTAGCCTGTGAAACATTTGATGACACTACAGCCTTCCTTAAGAGGTGCTACTTAACCTAGCCAAGCAAGTCTGAGAAAGAAACAAAATTTGTTTCTATTGCTTAAATTTTAATTTTTAAAAAGAATATATTTTATGTATATGGGCCCTCTATCTTCATGCATGCCTACATGCCAGAAGGTGGCATCAAATTCCAATATAGATGATTGTTAGCAACCATGTATTGCTGGGAATTTAACTCAGGACCTCTGAAAGAGCAGCCAGTGCTCTTAACTGCCCCTGAGTCTTTTCTCCAACACAACAAAACATTTTTTTAATGTAGTACTTCTCAAAGTTTTAACATCCTAGTTAATGTTATACATATTAAAGATGTCTCATATATATTTTCTTCAAATTTCTTTAATTTTAGAACTCTTGCTTTTATATGATGCACATTAATAAGTCACCCGAAGATCAAGTCTTCCATATATCATAAATAAATGCTGGGTTATAGTTTTCTATCACTATCCTGTTACAGGTAGGTTTTATTTTATTCCAACTTAGAATATGGACTTACTGTTACAAGCCTTTTATTTTATCAGGATGTTGGTGGCAAACCCAAACTACTTACCATGTAACAATATAAATAGAACGAAGTACTAATGTAAAGACCAACATTCCATACATGACCTGAATAGGAATGAAAAAGAAAGTAGTCAGTACAGCTTTTCCTCCCTTCCTTCCTTCCTTCCTTCCTTCCTTCCTTCCTTCCTTCCTTCCTTCCTTCCTTCC